ATTAAATTGCAAAATAAAAATTTTAAATGTATGCCAATATAGTCATTGTTTTACTGACTTTTGAGTTAGGAAATAGCGATTTGTTTAAAGCCAAACAATTTCCTGTGAAATTTTTAGTCTACAGCCGCCATAAACCACTCAACGTGAATTTCACCCAGACACCTAGCGCAAACAACCAAGCCAAGATTGCCAAGTCAAATATCGATGGTTCACTACACACCAAAATTATTACAAATGGTTATAAGAGCATTCATGATGATTGTGAATGGTCAAAAAAAATGCGTGACGAATTTTTAAACCATTTTAATTATAATGTAGTGTTAGTTGATTGGAGCGCAGGTAGTGCCGGTTTATATAATCAGGTATGTTTTTTAATAATCTAGTTTTATTTTTCATAATTTGTAAAATAAAACAACGTTTTAATAATTTACATACATTTGTATACGTATTTTTCAAAATAATTATTTTTATAAGGCACGTGCGAATACACACACCGCTGCAAATGCTATCGCAAATTTTATTGAAGTTTTGCAAGTATAAATAATATTTAATTATTGACAAATTTGCCTAAAAATGTCTAATTAATTAACATTAATGTATTGTAATTTAATGCATACTTAGAAAACAAAGAAACTATCATTAGACAATGTGCATTTAATAGGGCACTCGTTGGGAGCCCATATATCTGGATTAGTTGGCCATGCATTAAACGGTAGTATAGGCCGCATAACCGGCTTAGATCCAGCTGGTATGTTGATAAATAATATTTAAACATTTATTTGTGAAACACTGCACAAAATAATAATAACTATAAATTATTAAATTTGAAATTAAATAACCTTTCTAATTAGGTCCTTTTTATAACGGCAAGCACAATGCAGATAAACTAAACCATACAAATGTTAGTAACATTAAGTGTGAACTAACTTATAATTATAACAAGATTTTATTCTAACCAGGCACAATTCGTGGACGTGATACACTCAAATAGCCTTAAATTACATTTTGACCGTATATTTGGCTTTGGTATAATAGAAAACGCCGGGCATTTAGACTTTTGGCCCAACGGCGGGTTTAACCATCCTGGCTGTTTAAAGAGCTGTATTCCGGGCACAGAAAAATTTGGTATATTTTTATATTTTTATACCAATCAATTAACTTAGGCGCATCATTTTAATCTTATTAGATCTAGAGGCATGCGTGTCATGCAATCACGCGCGGGCAGCTTTTTTTTACGTCGACACCATTAATCCTAATAAACCTGAGGGTGAGGCCCATGAGTGTGAGAGCTATGACTTATACAAAAAGGGTGAATGTAATGCTGAATGCGATGCTAATGAGGCCAACTGTGCTATTATTGGCGAAAAGGCTGTACTATCCAAACCTTATACGGACACGACTAAAAACAAAAAATTTTACTTGATTACTAATTCACTCTCTCCATATTTTTCTAAGTAAATTTCAATTAACCGTTTGGACATGATTATTATCACATGATCCTTAAATTTAAATTGTATTTTTAATAATAAAAATTATTTCAGCATTATATTTTTCCAACTTTAACTGTTTATCAATAACTTGTATCAACAATTTTAGTAATATTTGACTCAATATTAGATGACCATATTTTCAAACGTAATCTCAATGTCTTTTCGGAATAATAATTAGTTTTGTCATTTTTAATTGATTTCATTAATTTAAAAAAATTGCTCACAATCAAAAGTCGATCCAAAATATGTTAGAATTGTTAATGCATTATTTATTAATACAACAATTTTACGACTGGTTTGAATTCAAATGCAAATGCAGTCAATCCATACGATAGCTATAGTATGGTTTTCCCAACATTTCAATGCATTAAACCCTTCATATATAACGTTACGTTTTTTGTCAAGTTTTTTGTATATCCATATAAAAATTCAAAAATTATTTGTCTATCTTAATGTTTTAATTAAATTTAAAAAATAATTTTAATGTGTATGACAATTGGTTTTTCTACTTCAAGGTGCCAAAAGCACCTACTTTGCCGAGCAATATCTTAATACATATTATGGATCCATTTCACATGGATTTGAAACTGTGTTAATTAAGCTACAAAACACTGCAATTTGTTAGCATGTTTCTATTGTTGTACAGTGAAAGCATCACCCGAAGAGTCCAACCTCCAGAAACACTTTGGACCATGTTATAAATTATAACTTATAATGTGACACTATAATACAATTATTACATATAATTATAACTAATTGCTTCTAATTTAATTAACATTAATAATATTCTCTATTTATATATTTTGATATAAATGTAAAATATTATTATTATTATTATAACCTTATCAATCAATATTATTTAATAATGAAATTGAAATTGATTAATTTTGATTAAAATTGATAAACTGTTGGTTAAGGGAAATAACTGAAATAAAAGGCACAAATATTTTAAATTTGTTAAATTTATTTATTAATAGTTATCACTAAAGCATATCAAAATATGCATTTATAAGCAGTCAAATATGTCATATAATATGCCTTTTAAAATGGTCAAATATGCATTTATAATTTTTAAATATGTGATATAAATATTATTTATTATATTTTATACGCAATTTAGCAAAATGTTATGATTAAAATGGTCGTTTAGCTTTCAAAACTCATTCAAATATTAGTAAAGCATTGATTCGAAGGTAAATAACTTTTTGTCCCGAAAGCGGAGAACCTCCTGAAAGTTTGGGGGCACACCATATACCTCTTTAGGAGTATTTTGAGAGAATTTCATTTCACCTTTTTAGCACCTTTTGAGACGTTCTCACCTTTAGTAACTTTTTAGTAACTATTTCAATGTTTTGCTAATTTTATACCGTATTAACAAATATTTTACAAAATAGTTGATGAATAAATATATTTAGTATTGAAAAATTACAATTAATAAACAATGAAAGAGTTGAACAATTATTTAAAAAATTTTAAATTTCATATACGTTCCCAAAGCTAAACTTTCCATTGAATCAATATACCTTTTCAATAAATTACTTAACTAAAATTATCAATCAAAAGTTCAAAGCCGAATAACTTTAAAATTATTATAGATACAGTGTTCTAAGCTTCATATTCAAGCTCAACATTAAATTTTATATACGAATCATACATAATAATCAATTATTTCTATAATTTTTATGTAAAATAAATAACTTTTTCATAACTTTTTCTTAACTTTTTATCACCTTTCTATCACCTTTTCAGTCATTTTTAAGTAACTTTTTAAGTACCTAAAACACTTTTTTTTGTCACCTAAGAATCAATGCTTTAAATATTAGTAATTAACGACGAAACAAATTAGAAATACATTATTTATTTTTAAACAATATAATAATCGTTGACACTACAATATAGTTAATGCGGTATCACTACTATCTAATGAAAGTTAAATAGATATTTGCCTCATAAATTAATATTTTCTTGTAATCTAAAATTAATTTCAATTAATTGTAAATTTTTAAACAGTTTATTCATGTTTAGTTATGATTTTTGACTAAATTCATGCGTTTTTATGATTTAGGACCAAATATGCAGTTATATGCATTTATGAGCCAAATATGCATTTATATGCAAAATAAAAGTTTGTCAAAACACCCCTTATTATGTGATTCGTTTGCCCCCAAAGTCCCAAACTTATATAACTANCAAAATAAAAGTTTGTCAAAACACCCCTTATTATGTGATTCGTTTGCCCCCAAAGTCCCAAACTTATATAACTAACCGGTAAAAACATGCATTTGCACGATATGATATGCTTTAGTTATCACTGATAATAATTTAAATTTTTATCACTACATACAGTGCATAATGTAAATAAAATTTATGACACTAATACATAAAATAGTTGTATTATAAATTATTTATTTACTCAGGGAGTTTATTCAGAGTATATTTATATTAAATACTAATTACATTAATATTTTCCAGTAGTTTTACTAGAAAACGGTTTTACCACAAAATAATTTTAGTTTATTGTTTTATTGTAAAATATTATTTATATTGTTCAGTTATTCACAATTTTATCCTTATTAATCTGAAACTGTATTTACCAAAAGCGTGTCATAAGCTATTTGTTTGACATAAAATTTAATGATATTTTATAATAAAAATTGTTATTTATATTAGACTTTTCCGACTCATCCAATATTTTTTGTTATCATATTAGGGTGACCAACCGTCCCGGTTTGGCCGGGACAGTCCCGGTTTTGAGCATTTTGTCCCGTGTCCCGGCGAGAGTCAGACCGGGACAGGGACGGTCAAAGTTTTTAAATTCCAAAAAATATTTTCTTTTTGAAAATTTGTATACTTTAAAGTAATTCAGGCGTTAATTTTACAAATGTTATCAAGCAAATATCTAATTCAAATATATATTTTGCTTTGTATTTTCGATAAAATTTATTGTAAAATGTTAAAACCGGGACATTTCTGGCAATTACAAACGTATGCAAAAAGTAATAAATAGTGAAATTTTAAACAAATTATATATGACAAACCCATATTCAACTTTAAATTTATTATTGGAGCCAGTAAAAAAATTCCTAATTCTCACAATAAAATTAACTTATCATTTAACAATGATTTACTACCAAAATATTATTTTCCAAGAATAATTAGTTTTTAAAAATCCCATTTACAATAGTTTAAAAATTAAAAATAGTTTAATTTAGCAAAAAAAAATAATATCATATTTTAATTTAGCAAAATAATAATATATTTTAATTTAGCAAATATAATATGCCTTAAATGGGTACAGATAAACATATATTATATATTTACAAGCATCCCGATAAATATCCTGGAATAATTTTTTAATGTCCCGGAATGTCCCGGAATTATCAGGAGTTTGTACAAAAAAATCCCGGTATTAAATTTTGTGAGTTGGTCACCCTATATCATATATTTATTTGAAACACTATTTATCAATTGATTCACTGATTTGATTGACAAATATATGCGATATTGAGGACCATTTGCTGGCAATAAGTGGATGACAGCCAGAGAGCAACAAATGTTTAATAATTATACAAATAGTTGTGTTTAACAGATAATAATTTACAGTAAAGTATACGATTAAATATTAAAAAGTGCATTATTTGCGTACCCGTAATGAACTAACAGTAAAGTGTCATACAGTGCGCCAAATCATATCAACAAATACACTGTACATATCGTACGATTAATATGGCACTCAATAAGTGTACGATTATTTACGAGAATTATAAATGAAAAACAAATATTGATTTATTTTTGTGGTTAATTAAAGGATTGTTTTTTTGCGAAACTATTTATTATCATTACGTGAATTGAAGTGATCATCAGAAAAACAATTCATTTTAAATGTTGAAATTAATTTTGCTTATTGTGTTTGCCATACAATTGAGTACAAGTGCCGCAAATGTGGCCACCGGTTGCGATAATAATGAAAACAACAATCACGTGACCCCATCAATAGCCTACCCTAATCTACACAAGCGATCATTTAGTCTGAATCCTGTGTTTGCATTCTTGAAGGCGTTGGGCGCCCGTCGGGCCAAACAGGTATACATTGTTTTATTGCGTACAGAATATTCTGTACAAAAATTATTTTGTAATGGTTGACAATGAAGTTTAAAACACACCATAAAGTTTACAATAACAACCTTTATTATTAGTTTTAATTATGAATTAAAAGTAAAACAATTACTACCATTATAAATGATTAAACCCCATTAATATCCCATCAGGTGTACGACAACATCAGGCATGGGGTGAAAAACGCGTTCACGTGTTACTCGTGCGAAACGGTTATGTCTTTAGCAAAACTGTCGGTCTATTCTGTGGGTGAACTCAATTACCTGATGGCCGGAGTGTGCGAGTCGTTTAGGTTTGAAGACAGGAGGGTATGCTCCGGGCTGTCCGACCTATTCTCGGAACAACTCTACTACATACTGAGGCACACAAATTTGACCAAGAGCCAACTGTGCGCCACTCTCATAGGCGCTGAATGCCTGTCCAAACCCTGTGCCGATCGACACGAATGGCTTATAGAGTTGGACACCAACTACACCACTGTCCCAGTGGTTAACACTGACCCTCAAATCTACCGTATGCTACACCTGTCGGACCTGCACATTGACCCCTACTATAGCCCGGGCGCGCACAGCGACTGCGGCGAACCCCTGTGCTGTCGGGCCAGCAGTGCAAAGGGTAAGACCACAGCCGGCCATTGGGGCGACTATCAGGCCTGCGATTCGCCGAAGTATACCATTGAAAAGCTCATGTCGTATATCAACGCCACGTTTCCGGCCGACCACTACCGGTACGTGATCTGGACGGGCGATATCACTGCACACGATGTCTGGAATACCACCAGAGATACCATTGTCAACGGTTCCCGTGCTCTCACATCACTGATTACTACATATATAGCGCCCGGAAGACTAGTGTTTCCAGTGGTAGGCAATCACGAGGGACTCCCCGTTAATCAGTTCCCGCCGCCCGATATCAAGGGTTTGTTGTCTAATGACTGGCTATACCGGGAACTGTTGGCCCAGTGGTCACAATGGATACCTGAAGAGTATCACCAGATGTTCCGTACGTATGGGTGCTATGCCAGGCAGGTGTCAAAATTGTTCAAAGTGGTCGTGTTGAACACTAATTATTGCGCCCGTATTAACTTCTGGCTGATGTATAACCCAAACGACCCTGGTCAACAGTTGAAGTGGTTGGTCAGGGAGTTGGCCGCAGCTGAGGCAAGCGGCCAGTCGGTCCATATTATTGGTCACATACCGCCCGACAATACACAGTGTATATCACAATTTGTTCACAACTATCTACGGATTGTTCAACGATATAATGAGACAATTAAGGGCCAGTTTTTTGGTCATACTCATTTTGATGAGTTTAGGGTAATGTATGCGCCTAATAATGCATCCGTGCCAACCGGTGTCGCATATCTCGCCCCCAGTGTTACGCCATATGAGAAAGTTAACCCGGCGTTTAGATTTTACACCGTTGACTCGGCGGTTAGTATTAAATGATCTCGTTAAAATCAATATTTGTTTTTCATTTATAATTCTCGTAAATAATCGTACACTTATTGAGTGCCATATTAATCGTACGATATGTACAGTGTATTTGTTGATATGATTTGGCGCACTGTATGACACTTTACTGTTGGTTCATTACGGGTACGCAAATAATGCACATTTTAATACATTTAATCGTATATTTCACTGTAACTTACTATCTGTTGAACACAACTATTTGTATAATTATTAAACATTTGTTGCTCTCTGTCTGTCATCCACTTATTGCCAGCAAATGGTCCCCAAAATCACATATATTTGTCAATCAAATCAGTGAATCAATTGATAAATAATTTATAAACTTATAAAATAAATAACTTATTAATTATAAACATATGATAACAGAAAATATTGGATGAGTCGGAAAAGCCTAATATAAATACTGTAACAAGTTTTATTGTAAAATTTTATCAAGTTTTATGTCAAACTAATAGCTTATGACATGCTTTTGATAAATACAGTTTTAGATTAATAAGGATAAAATTGTTTATAACTGAACAATATAAATAATATTTTACAATAAGTTAAAACAACAGGATAAAACTATTTTTTGTGGTAAAACCGCTTTCAAGTAAAGCTACTGGAAATCATTAATGTAATTATTATTTAATGTAAATAAAGTATACTCTGAATAAATCCCCTGTGTAAATATATAATTTATAATACAACTATTTTATGTACTGTATTATTGTCGTAAATATCATTGACATTATGCACTGTTATATCATATAACTTATATGTAAAATTAAAAATTTAAACTAATAACTAAACATACTTTACAGATTCTAAATATTTTTTGCCGTTTATCAATTTTAATCAAAATTGATCAATTTAATTTATATTTTTATTAAATAAAATTGATGCATAAAGATACTAAAGTATAATAATAATATTTTATATTTATATTAAAATATTGGTTTAAGTGGAAACCAAGTTCCTTGGGGTATTTGTAGTAAATGTAGAATTATGAAAATGTTTCTAACTACACAACAGGACTAGAATATCAGTCGAAGCAATATATAAATATAAAATATTATTAATGTTAATTGAATTAGAAGCAATAATTGAACATTTTAAATATAATTTATTCAGCATAATTATTTATAAAGCACTAATTATTATGCACATTGTGGTAATTGAATTTGACACATAATATTAAGGTAAATTAGCATACAAGTCCTTGAATATAAATGTATTACCATAAGAGAGCAATGCTGGCATAATTGGGCAATGGCGGGCATTGCTATAATGTATTTTCTATAAGGCATAGTGTTGCCAGTCTAGCTTTTCAGCCTATTTGATCACTTCTGATGTAATTTTAGTGATGTAATGATCACTTTATTACAATTATTGAGCAGTATAATTATGCTATATTAATTGAACATACAGTATAACTTATAAAAAACTTTTTACCCAAAACATTTACATTAGTAATGTAACATTACATCGATTAAAAGTATCATCATTGTTAGTTTTGTATATATTTATTGCAATACTCACAGAAAAATGAATGAAAATTCACAAAAACTGAAAACAACGGATTTAGAGTATCCATTATATAAGTATTATTTATTTTATAGATTTGATATAAACAACAAATGTGTCGATAAAACCACACTATTTATGCAAAAATGCAAAGTATTTACAATTATTATTATAGCGATTGTCAATGTATTTCGTTATGTATTTTATTTCTATAAATCCGTACCAAACAAACGATTGTCCGTTCAGTTCATGTCATTATTGCAATACTGGAGCGGCAAAAAGGAGCTATCATTTATCGGGGGTATTTGTAGCCCTATAATTACCCTGTGCGTTATTTTAATGTTAAATTATAGCCATAAACGTGATTATAAATGGTTTGATATAATCAACGCAATCAATGGCTATCAAACATTTACATCAATCGGTTTAAGGAATAAATATTTAAGCGATAAATTTTGTCATAAATTTAAAAACATATACAAATTTGTAGATTTATTAAAATATTACGATATATTTTCATTTCTCATGACAATCGCATTAATATATTTATTTTTCAACGATTATACCTTGATCATTTACGGAATAATTACTGGCTTAATATTTTATACAATGTATTATAGTTTTTTAAAGTCATTCGTTTGGATAATATATTATTACCTAATGGTCTGCTATTATCTTAGATATCGTATCAAATGCTATAATAATTATTTAATAAAAATTGAATTTAAAAAAATTTTTATTAAAAATAATTATTTAAATAAATTAGTGATAAATCATAACAAAATTTGTTTAGATATAGAATTGCATAATAAATTTTGGCAAAATGTATATTTAATAGTTTGCTATCTATTAATGCTTATGAACGGGATTTCATTACAAATAGTATTATTTACTAATAATATACGGATAACTCAATTGTCTTTAATTGGTTTCATTATAATTGGTTTCGCGTTTTTATTTACTCTTAATCTAATTATTTCCAGTATTAATATTGAAATCTCAAAAACATTTAAAAGTTTACATCGGTTTTATTTATTATTAAATTCAATTAAAACAATTAGCAACAAATTAAAAGTATAATAAAATTATTATTCATATTATTAATTATAATCAATTGTAAAAACATTTTAACTTTTTATAAATAGGTATTGAATAGTATGTGTCGAGTGAGTGATAGAAACAAATTGATTGGCTTTTCGTGTAGTAATCAATACGTTATCACCAGAAGTGTTGCCGCAAAAGTATACAAAAGCATTTATTTTTTTTAATTATAATTATGTTTTCAGATGCTATTCATTTATATTACGCCTTGTATTGTAATCATCGGAATTAATGTTTCTAAAATTATTTTAAAAAGTATGAATATAGTACACGTAAACAAAAACTACTTTTCGCTTATGAATACAATTGGGAATGTTAGTTTAATAGAATAAATTAACATTTAATCCAAAATTATAATTATTTTGTTTTTAATTTTGTAAAACTATTGACAAAATTGTATATTTTTCATCAATTTCATTGATTTTCCCAAAATATGTAAAAATATGTGCTAACATTCAAAATATGTAATTATATGTATTTATGTGATAACAAATAGGTCTCAGAATACTCCTTATTATATGATTCGGATAGAATTTTAAGCTAAAGTTCGATATCTCTTACCGCAAATATATTTAAAAATATGTGAAGTCATCCGATGTCTTTGCTAATGATATTCAAGTTAGTTCTGGTGTAATCCAAGGTTCGGCAATATCTCAGGATTTATTCAATATATATTTATCCGATTTAATACTTGGCATTTATTCATCTATTAATTAATTCATCTATCATCTATCAATATTTATTAATTTTGTGATGACATTTGTTTAGTGAAAATGACATCTCATGTCTACAATCAGATTTAAACATGATTTATGACTATTGTATTGAGAATTCATTGAAATTAAATCCAGTCAAATCAGAACACATGAGAATATCATTGAAACATTGTTTAACAAATAATTTATATGAAATCAATGGTCAAACTGTTAAATCTGTTGAAAAACACAAACACATCGGTATAACTATAGATCCTAAAATTTTTATTCATATTACGCGCCAATGTTAAATTCAATCAAACAGTGTGAACTGATACAGTGGCCAATCAACATTGTCCGAGAAAGTGTTCTGAGAAAGTGTTATTGCAAAATTCAGGATTACTAGGTATAACATATGATAAAAACATGACATTTAATTCACACATTGATTCAATTGTAAATAAAGCAATTAAAAAATTCTCTATGTTAAAAATAATATGTAATAAAGTTAAAGGAAAGGCATTTTTAAAATTTTATATAACGTATATATTGCCTATCCTTGAATTTTCTAACTTATCATTTGTTCCTAATATTACACAAACAAAAAGTCCAGAAAAAGTTTACGAAATATACTTGCTTTAAATTAGGTTTTAATGACTTGTCATATGATAATAGACTTAAAGTTTTACAAATTTTTACACATGAAAAACGTTAAAAATAATCCAAATTTTAAGCTTAAAATAATATGTTTTTAAGCTTAAAACTAAATCATTTAAAGTATACAACAAATGGTATAATGAATTGAAATTTTATGAAAATTCACGAAACCGAACTTTTATTAAAATACCTAACATTAGAATAAATTTAATTAGAAAAGAATTTTTCATTAATTGTATAAATCTATTTAATTTATTACCCAAAGATATTAGATGTGAAAATAATTTAACTAAATATGTAAGTAAATTAAACGACTATTTGTAATACTCATGTATTTTTAAACAAGTTTTTAAATAAAGAATTATTATTATTATTATTATTATTACATGGGAATATAATATTTATTGTAAATTAATTTAAATAGATAAAATTTTGGGCAATATTAGAATAGGGATTTTATTAATTAATAGTACATTAATAGAATATTTTATAATTACATTAACAATTACGAGAGAGAGAGAGAGAGAGAGAGAGAGAGAGAGATTACAATTTGTTAAACCAATTGTTATAAAACAACATTTAACGAGTAAATATTGTATATCAAACCTGCCACTATTAGTTGTGATATACACAGCCCACGGCTGTTCTCCGGTTTGCACTACCCGTCCGTTTTGAATGCCGGCAAACTTTATATCACTATTTCTATGGTATGTAAAGCACGTGTTGTCCCTAAGCATCCCTTTCCTCCCGACTCCACAGCCGGCAGTCGTTATATTCTCATAGAAATGAATTCTCGCGTGACTTCCGTTACAGCCATTCATAAATGCGATTAACTCTGTAATTGATTTGTATTATAACGAAAACATTGATTCAATCTTAGGCAAACATTTCTTACGAATATTAGATACTATAATCATAATAATATCAAAAGAATACATTTTATAAATTAATATTATATAAATTATAATTGTATTATTGATGTTATCATAAGTTTTATAATAGAAATGATAATAA